GAAACTGCGAAATGAATGGTAAACCTGTACAACATGTGAAGTTGTAAACCGAATAGGTAGAGTTGATGCACGTTAGAGGTGGCAAAAAGAAACGAAAACCAATCAAGACAACATAGCAACAGAGACAGTAACAGTATAAGTGAAAAGGAGCCTCAAAGGGGAAGAAGGCCCTAACAGAAAATAGAGAAAGAGCCAGACGTGAAAGATGACGACCAGCAGGGCCGGACTGGCCCACCGGGATACCGGGAAATTTCCCGGTGGGCCGCGGCACCTGGGGCCGGTCTGACAGCTCCTGTGATCCCGGCGGCCGTGTGTGAGCTGTGCGGCCGCACAGAGCCCCATGGGAGCCAGGGGGAGCCGGGCGGCCGGCACAGTTCACACACGGCCGCCCGGGATCATTAAAAAAAAAAAAATTTGCGGCGGGGGCGGAGCTTACTGTGCGGCGGGGGCGGGGCTTAGCGTGCGGCGGAGGCGGAGCTTACTGTGCGGCGGGCCCGGCTAGTTGCAGCATGGACTCCTTCCCCAACAACCAGCCTGCAGGAGCAACAAACAGGAGGGAAGAAGGAGGTCAGTGTGTGTGTGTGAGTGTGTGACTGTTAGTGTGTGTTTGTGTGTGACTGTCTGTGTGTGTGTGTGTGTGTGAGTGTCTGTCTGCCTGTGTATGTTACTGTCTGTGTGTGTGTGTGTGACTGTGACTGTGTGTGTGTGACTGTGTGTGTGTGTCTGTGTGTGTGACTGTTAGTGTGTGTTTGTGTGTGACTGTCTGTGTGTGACTGTCTGTGACTGTCTGTGTGTGCGTGTGTGTGTCTGTCTGCCTGTGTATGTTACTGTCTGTGTGTGACTGTGTGTGTGTGTCTGTCTGTGTGTGTGTCTGTCTGTGTGTGTGACACTGTGTAACTGTCTGCCTGTGTGTAACTGTCTGCCTGTGTGTTTGACTGTCTGCCTGTGTGTGTGTGTGTGGCTGTCTGCCTGTCTGTATGTATGGATATTTGCCTCGGTGTCAGTGACTGTCTGCCTCTGTGTGTGTGTGCGCACCTGCTAGTGAGGGAGCCTCTGTGTGTGTGTGCGCCTGCTAGTGAGTTTGTGTGTGTGTGTGCCTGCTAGTGAGTGAGCTTGTATGTGTGTCAGTGAGCTTGTCTGTAGGGATCATATGTGTGTGTGTTAGTGAGCTCTTGTCTGTAAGGAGCATGGGTGTGATCGTGGGCTTGTCTGTAGTGAGCGTGTGTGTCAGTGAGCTTGTCTGTAGTGAGCGTGTGTGTCAGTGAGCGTGTCTGTAGTGACCATATGTGTCAGTGAGCTTGTCTGTAGTGAGCGTGTGTGTCAGTGAGCTTGTCTGTAGTGAGCGTGTGTGTGTGACAGTGAGCTTGTCTGTAGTAAGCTTGTGTGTATCAGAGTTTGTCTGTACTAAATTTGTGTGTCTGCCAGTAACCTTGTCTGTGTGTGTCATTGACATTGTCTGTCAATGAGCCTATTTGTGTGCATCAGTAAGATTGTCTGTGTCTGAGTATGCTTTACTGTATAATTTAATTACCCTGAAAGGACTAATATTTTGAATTAGAAGAAGAAATGTATCAATAATATATATATATATATATATATATATACACACACACACACATATACATACATTAAAGGACCACTCTAGGCACCCAGACCACTTCAGCTTAATGAAGTGATCTGGGTGCCTGGTCCAGCTAGGGTTAACCCATTTTTTCATAAACATAGCAGTTTCAGAGAAACTGCTATGTTTATGAATGGGTTAAGCCTTCCCCTATTTCCTGTAGTGGCTGTCTCATTGACAGCCACTAGAGGCGCTTGCGTACTTCTCACTGTGATTTTCACAGTGAGAGCACGCCAGCGTCCATAGAAAAGCATTGATAATGCTTTCCTATGTGACCGGCTGAATGCGTGCGCAGCTCTTGCCACGCGTGCGCATTCAGCCGACGGGGAGGAGAGCTCCCCGCCCAGCACTGGAAAAAGGTAAGTTTTTACCCCTTTCCCCCTTCCAGAGCCGGGCGGGAGGGGGACCCCGAGGGTGGGGGCACCCTCAGGGCACTATAGTGGTCCTTTAATATAAAACACCCTACATAGCACAATGACTTATGGGGCTGGCATAGATTTTTTTCCAGGGCTGCTTCGTATCCCCAGTCCGGCCCTGACGACCAGGAGCTAACAAGGCTGGTAGTCCGCGAGCAGGCCCCGAAACGCAGGGAACGGCAGCGGCTGCAGGAAGTCTGGTTCGAATGTAGCCAAAGCGGCAGAGGCCAGTTACCCTAACCTGCCATCCGACACCCCCCCGTAGGCGACAGCAGCGAAGACAACCAGGGGGGTGAACAAACGGAGAAGTAAGAGTGAACTCGGGGGCCCCTCCAGCAACAGTGTTACCTGTGGAGGCGGGCAGACACTGAGAGTTCAGCTGTCCAAAAGGCTGCCGGGGGGGAATAAGTTGACTCGCATGAACCGCAGTGAAGTGAGGAAGCGCCCAGGACCTGAAAAGAAGGTAAGAATAGCCAAAAACTCCACAGCGTGATGAGTACCAGACCTAGCCAGAGAGCCTGGGTGGAAAAAACAAAACACCCCAATCACCTAGCAGCGGAGACCTGCTAGAAAGAGAAAACGAATAGACAGCACATAAACAACCCATGGTGCATGTGTGTGTGAAAGTGTGTGTGTGTGTGTGTGTGCTGGCATACTAGCTAAAGCCAAAAAGCAAAACAATTAAGACTAGGTTTGGTGACAGGTGAGGCCCTGCTAGATGCCAAGCGGCGTGAGAGGCACTATCTATGCGTTGGCGCAAGGGGATAACGTGGCCACTGAACGTTGTGGCGGGGTGTTGGCCTCTCGGTGACAGTTAACCATAAGATAGAATGGGAGTGACAGGTGAGGCCCTCTCTATGCCACAAAATGAGAGGCGACTAACTATGATTTGGCCCGAGGGGTGTAATACCTCCGAGTATGAGGATGGGTGTTGGCCTCGCGGGACCACCCCCCATTAGTTTTTTTGTTTTTTTTATATCATGATATCATGACAACGAAATTGTGTAATGAGAAACAAAAGTCATCCAACCTTGAATATAACAGACATACTTGGAAAACTATGAAGGACTATGGCAGGCAGTCTCGCATTATAATTTGCCAGTAAATCAGCATGCACCAAGAGCAGCGACCAGCATGTGGCGCCATAACAGAAAAACTACGAGTCCCATAACCCTCAGACATTTATAAAAGTGAATCTCTTAGAAACGCGCTCGTGTTGCACACAGTGTAATTTGACATTTTGTGGTGTTAAACTTCAACTCCCTTAATTGATAAAAGGAAATAAAAGAAGAAACCATCATTACAAGTATTCAACATGCCAGCCATTGTTATGATCAGTTATACAGTTGTGACTGGTTAACACTTGTACACTGTAAAAGAAACTCAGAAAATAAAAACGAGAGAGAAAAAAAAAAAAACATATCTGAAGTGAGAACTTGTAATAACAGTTAGAAAATAACTTGGTTTCAGTACTGTCAATTAGCTTATCTTAGCTCTGTAATGCTTCCCAAAACCAGTCCTCTGGGATTAAGAGCCACTACTCAACCTTAATTGAAAGCCAAGAAACTAAATAAGGCCATGTCAGATGCCACCTGGGCAGCTGGTGGCGAGTACATACCGGCAGTGAGCATTAGGCATGGAAGAAGAAGAGCACTGCAGTAGTTTGTAGCACTGAGATAAATGCTGCACGTGGCTCGTCTAGGGAGGAGTACCTGAAAAACTGTGGGACGTTCGCAGGGAAAACAGGCGAATCACCTGACAGTCACGAACACCAACGCGAACCAAGCGAGCAACAAGAACATGAGGAACGAAAAAAACTCCCCGAACGGAGAGCCTAACGCGTTCGGGAGTTTGCAACAAAACGACACGAGGAAACGAAAACACAAGAAAAGGGAGAATAAACCCAGACCGTTACGACGCCGTGGGACTGCGACCGTGGCACAAAGGTAGGATAAGTAACTCACGACATCAGAAGAGTTATCTGGTCAACGGCCAACCGGAACAGACCCCAGAAAGGACCGTGGACGTATGAAAACAGCGGGGGAACGGTAGGCCAGGTAAGGAGAAGCACGAGGAACCTGGCAAGGAAAAGAAGCGACCGGGAATAGCGACATGTGAATCGCTAAAACACGTATGGGACGGAGGAAGGTGAGTAGGGGGTTTAAGTAGGGTAACATGCCCCTCCCACAACTGCAGGCCAAGCCTTTACATTTGTAACCTTAAAAAAGGTTTATAAGATAGCTTATGCTAGTCAGGATTTTTTTAAGACTGTTCATGCATCCCATGTAATCCTGCAAATCTCAAATCCTTATTAACTGTATTGCAAAGGACATAAACAAATATAATATTAAAAATGAAGTTTTGTCTTATCTGACTATTTTTTCTGTAACAAACATAGCAGTTTGCAAACACAGCAGTCTGCATCATGTTATCACAACCTCATTGTGGGATGAAAGTTGGAGAATTCAGCAGTCTCTGATGCCTGAGAGTGACCTGCCACAGTCAGTAGAAAATTGATGTCATATGAACGTGAGGGAACGTGAGGGACTTTGTCAATTTAAGTTTGGCGAAAACAATAATATCTGACACAAGATGGTGAGGTCCATATCCCTATTGTTTACCTATGCCCATGTTGTTGTTTTTTTAAATTAGTTATGTTTGTCTTAATCCACAGACATGGCAATAGACAATGAATGATATTGTTATTCGCATAACAGAGAGAAACAAAAAACATTTCAGTACAGATAAGTCATTGGTTATGTATTCATAGGCTAATAGTCTAAGGACTGAGTTTTATAATATAATAGATAAACAAAGAGCAGTCGTAGAACCCCCCTCTCTCCCCCACCAAATACGACATGCTCAGCCGGTGGAGTCAGAATTGGCATCTGAACAGATGGTGTGGTATTTTGCAAAAACAAAAGAAAATAAATGTGATGTAGTTGGTTATAGCTGAGTTAACAATGTCCTGTCAGTATGCTTTGTAATTGTAAAAAACTAAATCAAAACAGTAAATGTTGGTTCCCAAAAAGAGTTAATTTGGCTCTGTCCATTGTAAGGGAAATTGGACTGCCCTCACCATGTTCCCACACACAATGGGGGATAAGTATATCCATGTGGCAATATTACATTGCAAAGGAGAAGGAGAAATAAAGCATAAGGTGGCCAGGAAAAAAAATAGGAGGACACGACTAGTGATGTGATTTTGGGGCCTTGCTCCACAGGCCATTACTATACGGTGCTCCTCTCCCTAAGGTGAGGAGGAATTGTGGAGTACTGGACAGCATATGTACTCCACTGCT